CATGCCAGAGCAAGAACACCCAATCTGCCAATAGCAGTAGGTTGCCAATAATCGTACAGACCGCAAACGACAAAAATTTCTACGAAGGATCTAGATCGGCGACCCGCACCGTGTGCATCGAAACGAAGCCTCGAAATGAATCGTGTGGAATCTAAAGGTTTTCTGCTACTCTTCTTTCCCGTTCGGTGCCCGACAACRCTGCCCATCTGTGGGCTTTCTGACCCTTTCGCATGCAATCCTGCGATCCAATGCATGCGTCCCTCCCACCCCGCCATCTGCCACCGGTGAACAAACCACAGGCATCTAGCAATCGTGCCTTTTCCATTGCGGTTTCCTAACTTTTCTCCCTTCGGTTCCTGATCGTATCCTTCGTTTCGTCCTTCCAATTTTTTCCTGCTCTGCTGTAGTTGCATTGCATTGCATTCCTTATCTTCTCTCGTAGGCTGCTGCGTTGCGTGCGTCTTTTTTTTGGTGCGCCGCTCCTCCGTCACACTGCCCGCACCGTCTCGCCCCTGCTTACTACTTGCTGGTGTCCGCCGTCACCTCCATGGTAAAGTCGTAGCTGATGGTCGGGATCATGGACGAGACAAACTTGAGAAAGATAAAGAGGTAGTTCTCCACGGACGGCCCGCTCGGGGCCTCGTCTCCGTCCAGCGGTTCTTTGCCCGCCGCGCCCGTCTTGGTGAGGTTCCGGACGATCGCCTTCATGACCCTGGCGTGCTGGCAGGGGTGGATGCTGGCGTGGGGGCACGAGGACCCCACGTGCGGGTGGGTYTCCATCGTCACCGTCTTGTTGGCGTAGTCCGAGATGACGTCCTCCATCATCTGCCCCGACGAGAGGGGCTGGTCGTTCTCGTCGCGGCCGACCATCCAGACCCGGGGGACCTGGTAGTACTTGTCGTAGGTGATGGAGAGGTCGTAGGTCCGCGTCTTGACAATGTTGGCGGAGGAGGCCCCCTCGTTGTGGGCCTGGGGGAGGGCCGCGGCGTCGTCGTCGACCAGGACGTCCTCGTCCTCGTAGTCGTCCATGTCGCCGTACTCGTCCTCCCCGYCGTTKGYGTTTGCGTTTGCGTTGGCGTTGCCGCTGGTGCCGCCAGCCCCCGGYTCGGGAGCGGCGGCTTCGAGGGTTTCGGTTTCCACCAGCTCCCCGTCGCCGTCGAGAATGTCAAAGTCGTCCCCGAGGTTGTCCTCGTCCTCGTCCTCACCCTCCGCCAGCACGGAAGAGATCATCCACTCGTCCTCTCCGTCGCCTCCCCCGGCCACRCCCTCCATTTTCAGGTTGGTCTCCAGGGARGACACCCGGTGCAGGCAGGGGACGTTCCGGGTGATGAGGTACTGCTTGTCCGGGGGCAGGTAGGACTTTTCCTTCTTGCTGCTCGGGGCGCCCGACCACTCCCACGTCGGGCACCGAAAGACGAGCTCGTCCCCGGCCCGGACGAATTCCTCCGGCGTCAGGACGCCCTTTTCCAGAAAGGCGGATTCCGTCAGCTGGGGGTAGGCCCATTCTCGGGCTCGACGAAGGGATCCCAGCACCGAGGACATGGTTGTGTCGTGTCGTGTCGTGTCGTATTTTCGTGGATTCCAATACAATTATTGCGTTCTTTGTATAGCTGTGCCGTCTTGCCGTTGGAGATAGACGCACCGCGAGATTGTTGTTGTTTGTTGTTGTCCTTGTTGTTGTTTCTGTCGTGAGTCGAGAAAACACCTGAAATCTAACGTCCCACGCGTACGTTTTTGTACTGGCGAATACCGCGCGATGCGATGCGATGCGATTCGAATCGATTCGGGCCGGTGGAAGAAATCACGAAGAAAAGAACCCATCATTGTTCCTACGGAACTGCCGTTGAAAACGTACGAGGACTATTCTGTTCCTTTGCCGCAAGCATGCAACCTACCGTAACGTACGTGCGGTACGGTAGTAGAAATACAATACAAGAAAGGTACCGGTATGTTGCAGTTGGAGAGATGCCAGGTGATTTTGAATTYTTGGTTTGTGTTTCATTTTTTGATGATTCGATTGTTCCAAAAATCAATCAAAATTCTCATCCATTCCTTTGGTGCGCGTTGTTGAATCCAATCAAAAGCATTTATTTAATATAAAAATCAGTCTAAAATCCAATCAAAATCTACCAAGATTAATTTCGAACCARAACAGGTCAAAGAACCCCAAAATGCTACGCTGTGGGACAGCAATGACCCGACCCTGCTATAGCAGTTCGTGGTATAGTAGAAAAAGTTGATGTTTTGTTGGGGGGGCGGGAAGGAATTAAAAAATGGGTTTGGTAGCTTGCGCACGCTGCAATGTACATTATGGTTCTCACCATACGTATTCGTACTGCCGGCAGGCAATATGTCTCTGGGAAGGGCAATTGTTTTTTTTGCTCGAACCCACTGACTTTGGCGACAGGGCGCGAACCCGTCGATTGGATCCTATCTTTGAGTGGCACAAAAAACTGCCTCCCTCGGTTGCCAGTCTTGTGTACGGCTAGTAGAAACCAGAAAACCCCTTCCCAAAACGTTCCGGGGGCCTCCCTGTAGGAGGCGGGCTACGCAAGCCTACCGTACCGTACGATGCTTTCCGACTCGATTCGCACGAATGCGTACTCGTACGTACGGCATCGTACTGCATCGTACCGCGCCGTCGATTTGTTCGGAACGCAACCGGATCGGATCGGATCCGAGACGAGACGAAAGAGAGGCACATGCCGTCTTAGAGAGATCGATCGATCGAATCGAACTCAACCCTTCGCTGCATTCGACGGACGGGAAAGTCCCGAACACACGGAACCTAGTAGGGCACGGCAGCAGGTACCGTTCAGTACTCGCGCCCTGCTTCTCCGGTTCGACGCCGGGATCCGCTGTTGCGATCAAAGAATCSCAGAGGAACAGAAACCGCCGCATTGTAACAGCTACTACTCTTTGGTTCGAGAACGRGAGGAGGGGCATATTGTTGGATCTACCACGAACTAGAATCCAACACCTGCGATCGYAGTCGGTGTTTGTTGGGTTCGTCTTTCTGTCGTGTTGTGTCGTGCTTGATTCGTTCGGTCGAAGKCGCAGGCGCAGCAGCAGGCCGGATCGTTGAAGCGGGTCACACCGGGCCGAACCGAGAGAGCCGATCGCAAAAAGAAACCACGTTGGGAGACAGAGCCGGTGGGCAGTGAGCAGCGAGCAGCAAGCGACAAGCAACAAGCAACAAACAACAAACAGCACATAGCACATACTGTGTCCGATCAACAACCACTACTACCACCACCACTAGAACACCATGAACCAACACCCCAGCCTTCTGCGGTCTTTYTCGGCGGCGTCGGCCGAATCCCGGCCCCCCATGGTGCCTTCCTCGCTGCACCGGGGCAGCAGCGCCGGGGCGATTCCCTCGTCGTCGTTCGGTGCGAGCAACACCAACACCAACGGCAACGGCAGCCACCACCACAAAACCTACAAGTCCAGGTTCAAGCGGGCCCTGAAGCGCGTCGACGTTCCCGCCGTCCTGCGCCAGGGGATCCCCGTCACMCGGGTCTTTGCCAACGGCGAAAAGCCCAAGAAGCAATACCTGACCCTCAGCGGGGACAAGTTCACCCTGTACGTCACCAACAAGCCGATGGTGAACCCGAAGAGCTCCCAGGACGACAAGAAACAAAGGTCCGGTTCGTGGAAGTCCTTTTCCCTCTTTCGGTCCTCCTCGGTCGACAGCTCYGTTTCCTCGYCGCTGACCAACGTGGCCGAGGGGTCCAGGAAGCGGGCCAACAAGGAGGTCCGGACCATCGACATTGGCGAGATCCAGCGCATCCAGCGGGGGGCCCACAACGCGAACCTCAAGACCACCACCACGTCGGCGGAAACGGTCCAGAACCTCACGCGGCGGTCGCGGTCGGAGCTAAAGTAAGTGGGAAAGCGCACCGAAGCATGCGAGTGCAGCCGGTGTCGGGGTTTGCCGGGCCGTGTTTTGAGTTGCGAGCAACCCAAAACGAGCGAAAACACGGCACAACACCGCAGAAAGAATCGAATGGAAATTCTTCAATGGAAATGGTGTTTTGTGTGTCATGCCCCTCTTTCCTTACATTTTTCCTCTGCTGCTCGGTTGCAACACAATCTCATTCGTTCGATTTCTCTCTCTCTCTCTCTCTCTCTCTCTCTCTCTCTCTGTGCTAGGAACAAAATAATATCGCCTCTCTCTTCCCCCAACTCGTCACTGCACAATCGCCACAGTGACAGCGCGTCTTCCATCAACGCCAATTTGCCATTGTCGCCATCGAATATTTACAATCCCTTCGATGTAACAGACCTTCCGAATGKCAACGTGCTGTACGACTTCAAAAATCCAAATTTCGTGCCCGAAACCAAAACCAAAGGACGTTTCACGTGGTCATCGGGGAAAAGCGAACAAGCACCTCCATCCGTAACCACGGCATCGTCCCTCGACCCGGGTATGTGCTTCTCCATTATATTTCGGGGCGATTGGACGCTCGATCTGATGATGACCGATTTCGACATTATGACGACCAAGTCGGGGGAAACCAGCAAGAAAGGTGCCGACGATACCACATCGCTGTCCTCTGCGTCGAGGATCACCCGCGACGCGATACTGGATGCCCTGGACAACCTTGTCCGAGCGTACGAAAATGCAAAACGACAGGTCTCCAACGAGGTGTTGCTGCTGCGATACGTATGGAAGGATGCCGATCAGGTGAGAGCAAAACCGTGTGATCCTCTTCATCCTCTTCTTGTTCAAACTTTGTTTTTGCATACTTTGCTGTACTAATCTTGTCCGATTTTCGAAATCCTATCAATCAAATTAAAAAAAAAACACTAGGACAAATCAAATACGATCGCTCAGAACGAGGTCGGACTAGTCTTTGATCGGATCAACCACCACATGAAGAAAACGGAACTGAAGGCTGTCTACGACCAATTTTGYAAGGTGATCGGCTTAAACAACAAAGAACGAAAAGGCGGCCTCACGTTCGAACAAACTTGTACCCTTCTCCACAAAATAAAACGGGATTCCTGGATGGTACGGCCATCCCACCAGTACTGGAACCTTCTTTTCGGAGAATTCATGAAGAACGGCAAGCAGCGCCTGACGGTAAGCAGCAAAACCTTTTTGGAAAAGTTTTTGCACCAAAAGCARGGAGAGCGAAATGCCACGCTCGAGGACGCCAACGAGATCTTCCGGCGGCTCAACGAAATCGAATTGCCTCGCGTCGCCGGCGAGGGTCTAGATCCGACACGGATCGACAGGGACCGGTTCGAGGTCTATCTGCTGGGCGAGGACAACGATGTTTTCGATCCGAAACGGGAGGCCTACGACCCCCGGAGCATGCACCGGCCGATATCGGAGTACTGGATCAACTCGAGCCACAACACCTACCTCACCGGAGATCAATTTACTTCGAATAGCAGCATCGATATGTATTCCAATGCGCTGTATCGAGGGTGCAAGTGTTTGGAACTAGATATTTGGGACGGTGGATATTCTTCGAATGGCGAGCCAGTTCCCGTGGTGTGGCATGGGTGAGTCTTCGTGGTTTTGCTTTTGCCTCTGGCTTTGCAAGTCTTTGTGTTGTTTTGCGCTCTTCCATGCTGCAATGCATTGGAAGGCCATTGTGCTTGGTTCTCTCCTTCTCACGAGTCTAGTTTCTCCGACGGTCCAATCTCTCAACTCGTATAGGCACACCATGACGAGCAAAATTTTGTACAAAGACATTATCAAGGCCATAAAACTCTACGTCAACTTCCATCCGGACACGTTTCCTTTGATTCTTTCCTACGAAAATCATTGCGCCATACCCTACCAGGAGGTGATGGCGGCACAGCTCACGGAAATCCTCGGGGATTCTCTCTACATTCCAAAGGAAGACTCCTTGCTCGGAAAATTGCCGTCCCCGTCAGAGTAAGTTTGTGCCTTGTGCTTTTGTGGAGACCGAATTCTATGTGGCAAAGTTTCATAGRATGTCATCTGATCCTTGCCTYGCTCTTTTTTTTTCTATTTCGTGCTGTCGCTGACCGATGTGATTCAGTTTGAGAGGGATGGTAGTTATCAAGGGAAGACGACCTGCGAATATAGAAATAGACGATATCGATGACGGGAAGAACTCGGACGATGGTGCTCCATCGACGATTTGTCTAAGCGATGTCTACACGACGGTCTCGCCAGGGCCGTCTCAGCAACAGGTTCCTGYGCAAAAGCCGGCGTCGCAAAAAGTATGCCCGGCCCTGGCTCGACTGACGCTCTTCCACGGTACGAAACTCAAGGGCTGGGACGACAGCCTGATGAATCCAACCCACTTTATGCACTCCTTTTCCGAGAGCAAGATCAAGTCTTTGTGCCGCAAGACGGATCGACAAAAGTGGGTKATTTACAACCAATCTCACATGTCTCGGTCTTATCCGGGYGGTACTCGGGTGGACTCGAGCAATTATTCTCCTATTTTGCCGTGGGCAATGGGCACGCAGCTAGTAGCGCTTAATTTCCAAACCGTCGATGCCCCGCTGTTGCTGAACGACGGCCGWTTTAGGGAAAACGGTGGATGCGGGTACGTCCTGAAATCAACGAAGCTGATCGATCTGCAGGAACCTGCGAACGAGTTCAACAAGGAGAGCCGGGTACCAACGAAGCTCTCGATACGGGTCCTCAGCGGTTCTTGTTTGCCCAAACCGAACGGTGCCCGCAAGGGAGACTGCATCAACCCGTACGTCAGAGTTTCTGTGCATGATGTCAACGGCGACAAGGAGGTTTCTCCGTCCTTTTGCACGACCACCGTCGCAAACGGCTTTTATCCGATCTGGAACGGCGAGAAGTTTTCTTTTCGTATCGAAAACTACGAGACCGCAATGCTACAGATGTGCGTCTACACCGGGAGCGAAGAACTAATTGCCTTTTCATCAATTCCCATYTCCTGTGTGCGAAAGGGGCTCCGGAGCGTGAAACTCTTTGATACCAGCAATACGCGATCGGGTGCCTTTGACTTTGCCTCGTTGCTGATCGATGTTAAGAAAGAAAAGGCTAGAGACGAGGACTCGTTGCTGCGCGAGATCCAGAGAGAAATCGTCAAGAACGATACCGAGAGTTCAGCAGCAACATCAACCATGGCTGAGATATGAGATCATGGTCTACTAATGACATGAAGAAAGAAATGMGCATTGTACTCTTAGACTRTGGAGCATCATATCGGTATTGTCAAGAGGCAAACTGTAATTTTACAAATCCGATGGAACTAGAAAGATTTTTGTACTATTTGTCACGTTTTGTATCGAACATATTTTGATTCTWGTATTTGGCATTTTGAGTTCTGGAAGATTCGTGACTGAGATATCAGTGACTGGTTGATCGACACATATCCATGTTCCATGCAGAGATTTCCCTCCTACCACAGTTTACGTACCGGACAAGTACGTGACATACTAGGCTAATAATTGTTCTTTTTTTGGGCTTGTCAACCGCTGCAGATCGATCAATCAACAACGAAAGTACAGAATCAGAAATCATTCACAATAYAGCAATATTGTTTTGATTTCCTGGAACACTGAACTCAGGCATGGAAAGAGGATGAATATTCTTTGACCTTATTGCGTTGAACCTTCGTGCCAATAACGAGCCAGAAAATGAGAATCCAGCGACTCGATCAGCAGTTTTGACAGAGCGAGAAGAAAAGGGACCGGCAGAARAAGAAATCCGAGAGAATAGTCAGCACAGATCATGTCGGGATTGTCTTCTGCCTTCCATAACGAGCGTTCCCATAGATTCAAAGGTCACCAAACGACRCGAGCAATGATACGTGTKTTCTTGATGCTTGGGTTTCTTGCGGGGATTCCGTTTTCCTCCTCGTATGCAACTCCGATTTGCCACCACACGTTGTCGTCTMCCACTTCGGTGCTGTTTTCAACACCTATGRCTCGACCACTTGCRGAAGCAGGCTTCATCGACAGAGGGTTTCGCGGGAGCAGAGCTTTTGGTGTTCCATCAGGGTTGGAGCGTTGTTTTTGGCAACCAAGGTTTCGATCCACCACTGAACACCGATCSGTGTTTTGCAAAAACCAAAGTTTGTATTCGGCTGGTGCCGTTTCCGGTAGCGCCTCCTTGTTTTCGACAGGCAGCGACAATACCGAAGGAAATGACCTCGGAGATCGCGATGGGGATGGTGAAAAGATGGACGAGGCGACAAAGAGAAAAGGGCTGCCCGCAGTCGTTTCGGATTTCTTGTATGGAGCAAACTACGTTCACAAAAACTTTTTGAAACTGAGTGGGTCGTTGTACGCAAAAACGATTTTTTTCACCGCACCGTTCGTAGCGGTCTTTTTCGTGTTGCTGCCATCGCTCGTGCTGAGCTSGGGTTGTGGCCATCGAGCACTGGCAGTGAGCGTTCAGCGATTCTTGCAACAATTTTTCACGATCCTGGCGGATTTGTCTCTGAGGTTCTACCTCAAGCCGTTGTTCTTCGTAGTAGATTTGGTGTATTCTATTGCTGTGGCATTCTGTAGAAGGAATCTCGCTCCAAACAATGTCGGCGGCGCGTGGAGCATCAGGTCGAACGAAGCGAAAAAGAAATTTTATCTCCTYATTTTCCTGAGTCCGATCATGGAAGAACTCGTCTTTCGACTCGGATTTTACAAGTTGTGGAAAGCAATGTTCCGACCGGTCAACTCCGATGGCAGCAGAGGAACACTCACTAATGGGAACGACGAAACAACTCGCAACCGTGAAACGAGCAACCAGGAAATACTAGCTTCTTCTTCGGACGAAAGAAACACTCAACGCGGAACGAARACCTGGTTCATCGCCAGCGGTGCGGTGTTTGCCGTTACCCACCTGGTGAATTTCTTTCCCATCACACCCGGGAAGTACASGGAYGATACCGGGACGATTTTACTGCCCAGTGGGAGTTATGGAGAACGATTCCTACTTGCATTGTTTCCGTCGGGCTTTATCGAAACCCACAGAGAGTTTTGTCTAGTGGATATGGTTTTGTTTGGCGCGATCTTTCAGGGAATGCATTGTTTCATCAACACGATTGTGATGTATGGACCGCTATTTCACACGCGGGGGGTGTTTGCATCGATCGGTGCCCACATGGCCTGGAACGCCAACGTCTTTTGGCTGATCACCAACATCAAATGCCGTCTCGTTCGACGACTGGTTTTTGCTCCACTTTTCAGAACGATCCGACAGCGGCGGGAGGGGGAACCAAAACGACGAGTTAAGGGGAATTCACCCAACGACAACGGCAAAGGATAACTCGGAGTTACCATTTTGTCAAAACCTGACACAGAAATGGGCGAACTATGCTATGTCGATGCCAAAAGAATGCGAATCTATTRTGAGAAATCATACCATCGACTAGAAATATTCCAACGGCACATCACCATTGTCGAGATCTCATACCAAACATTCTAACCACTRCAAAAGGTTCTATCTTTTGAAAGTCCTCCGAAAAGCAATCATGGAATCATGGAATGGTTTCTGCAGTGGACGCATTCTACCGGTACCCCGARCCATTAAYAYATTTTAGTAGGTGCACTCGTATGCATAGTAGTACACTAGCATAGGTACGTACTGTGAGTATGAAGTAATGTGAGGTACGATGTACGATACGATGTACGATACCTCGTATCGTACGAAAAATCATTGCACATCCCAGCAAAGAACAATACGCAAGAAATTCGGTTGGCATGCAAAAATTACAGCATTTCGATTTAGAACATAGCAGACGGAGATATCGGTGCATGCAATGGAGCCCTAYGGTGCGGCGGAAACAGAACCCGACGAATCGAACAAACCCGATTTTGATCGGAACTGTAGGGCCTCCGTGCTGACGGATGTGAAGCGGTGCGGCTTGGCCCTGCGACACGCCTCCGACGAATTGCGGAACGACAGAGAGATCGTCCTGGCCGCGGTGAACGAAAACGGCGAGGCGCTGCTCCATGCCTCCAACGAGCTGGTTCGCGAYAAGAATTTTGTCCTGGCCGCCCTCGAAGAGAACGCATGGGCGTACTCGTTTCTGCCCTGGGAGTGGAAGGACGACAGAGACGTGGTGCTGGCCTCGATACGAAACGGCTGCGGCACGGCCATCTCACACGCACCCGAAGAATTYYKGGGCGACGGGTCCGTCGTCCTTGCCGCGGTGAGGGACAACGGGTTCCTCTTTCAGCACGCCTCGGAAAGCCTGAAGGCGGACCGAGACTTCGTTTTGGCCGTGGCGTCCGCAGACCAGAGYGGGCACGCCTTTCGGTTTTCCTCGGAAGAACTGAAACGCGACCGTGCTTTGGTGCTGGCCTGYGCGAAAGAGTGCGGCCTGGTCCTGCGGTGCGCCGGGGAGGACTTTTCCCGCGACCGAGAGATCGTGTGGGCGGCGGTCTCCCAGAACGGCCAGGCACTGGAGTTTTGTGCGGACGAGTGGAGGAACGACCGGGGCGTTGTCTCGAAGGCCGTTGCCGACAAGGGCTACGCTTTGCGGTTTGCCTCGGACGAGCTGCGGGGCGACCGGGGCATCGTCTCGGCCGCCGTGGAAAGCTCCGGCTACGCTTTGCGGTTTGCCTCGGACGGCCTGAGGGCCGACCGGGGCCTCGCCGCGGTGGCCGTCCGGGGGTACGGGGGGGCACTGGAATGCGTGTCCACCGAGTTGTCCGGCGACAAGGAGATCGTTCGTGCCGCCGTRGAAARCGATGGGGAYGCCCTGCGGTTTGCTTCGTTGGACCTCAGGGGAGATCCCGAAATCGTCTATGCGGCGCTGGGGGAGTCTCCGCTCGCCCTRGCGCATGCCTCGCGGGAGTTCTTTGTCTCCGGTGCAAAGCGCTTCCCGAACCGTAAATGCAGCGGAACGCCGGTCGGCAACAAGCAGGAGGACGAGGGAACGCTCGCTCCGGCATCCATGAGGGACAGAACACAGAAGGATGGCTCTTTGTCGCAGGAACCACGGGCCTTGGCCACGGGCAATGCGCCATTGTGCGAGGAACACGACGACAATCGCAAGAGGCGCCGCGRATCGTCTCCGGAACCCTCCGGCGCTTGACCGAGGCAAGGAAAGAGCGCAACGCAACGTACCGTGCTTGCTTGCACCGCGACACCGAGGTGCGTGGGCCCGTGTGTTTGCTCTATTCCCGCGCAACGAACGAACGGAACCACCGCCACACCGTCGGGCGTTGCGGTACGCGGCGGCAGCGGTKTTAGAATGCTTGCTCCGGGACGTTTCCACAAGGCACCTCCCGGTGGCACGAACAGTGGCAGCAGGAGCAAAAGCTATCGATCGGGATTGATCGATCAATCAATCGTGTAGTTTKTTTTCATGCCATCTTCTCCGTCACACGAAACAGAACCGAATGCGGACACGAAACATTTTTAAAGGATGCACCACTCCAGTTAGGCAAATCGTGGTGCTTGTACTATTGCCAGCTCTCCACTACTAATAGTATTTGCWCATCGCGTCGTGGTTGTGGAGGAGCAACAAAGAAGCTTTGATGGTACTCATACCCTGTTGTTGTTTCCCGARGAACTAGTGGTTCKGCTCTGGGTTTGGCATTGTCGATGTACTGCTTGCACTGCTCTTACTGCTGTTATTAATAYTGCGAAGTACTACTATTTTTCTGCTCTTTTACACTAGTAGATACCTTGTACGAAGTACTTGATCTTGAAAGAATTCTGTCRTCAACTTYYAGGMTCGATGTCACTAGTTTTATCAAAATTTCACAGCTCGCACGTTCTTTCTTTTTGGGGTTCATATTGTGAGGGTAAATCTCGAGTAGATAGTGAATRWTAGTAGGGTATGTATCGTATGTACGATAGCATTCGATKCTGCGGTACGCACGATAGCACGGACGGCCAGACTGAGTTCGATTCCTTGCCTTCCAATCTTTCGTGCGTCACTAWCAAASAATGCTATCGTGCGCGCAGCACGTGCGGTATGCTAGGTACCGTCCCGTACGCMATTTTACTGGACTTAGATTACTGATAGCCAGCGCTTCCCATCCCGCTGCCGGTAGCGGAGAAACCCCCACGGTTTGGCCTTGATCCGGCACGGCCGGCTGTGAATCAGGCCCMGAAAACCGCGCCGGGTGATCGTTCAGGCCTTGCGAAAAATACCCCCCSGGGAGGAAAAGCCTATCCGAGAAAGGGGGGTACGAGTGTGCCACCACCGGAGCGGATCGATSGATSGAACTAGTGGGAAAGGATTCTGACGGCACGGAGAAGCCCACTGCTGCGCACACAAAACTACGTACTCGCACATACCGCCACACTCGGTYCCATTCCGGTGCAAACAACAGAAAACCACACCATGGGCGACCAACAGCAGGAACAACACGACGAGGCCGGGGAGAGGTACGACTTCTGCATCGTCGGCGCCGGCCCGGCGGGCCTAGCCACCCTGTCGGCCCTGAGCGAATCGTACTCGCTGGGGGAGAACATCCACCTGAACGACGCACAGTGGGCCATCCGGGCCCTGAACAAAAAGGCAAGGGCCAACAAGCAAAAACAACAACAACGCAGGAAGAAACGCATCTGTGTCGTCGACCCCAACCCRAACTGGCTTCACTCGTGGGACAAGAATTATGAAACGCTGGAGATCGAGTACCTGCGGTCCCCGGTCAAGGCCCACCCCGACGCCTTTGACGTCAACTCTCTTTTTGCCTACGCCCACTCGAGCGGCCGGAGCGAGTCCGAGCTGAAGGAGAGCCGCTCGCTGGGGGGACTGGCGGGAAACAAGAAGCTCCTGCCGCTGGGAGAGGCGCAGGTGGGGATGTGGGACCTGCCGTCGTCCGGGCTCTTTCGGGATTTCTGCGACGACATCCTTATAAACCGGCTCCCCCACGACTACCTGTGTGGAAAGGTCGTGGACATYGACCGCTGCGACCAGACCCCGAGCCGGCCGGGAAGGCCACTGCCCTTTTGCGTGTCGATCGACGACGGAAGCGGCGGCCCCCCCTCCAGGATCACCGCAAGCGCCGTGGTCCTGGCCATGGGGGCGATCGGGAGGCCGATCGTCCCGAGGTGCCTCTCGTCGCTGCCCCCCTCGAAACTGGTGCACTGGAAGAACCTCAAGGACCGCAACGGCGAGCCAAAGACCRCAGAGGAGCCCCGCCGGATMCTGGTGGTGGGCGGCGGGCTGACGGCCGTCCAGACGGCCCAGTACGCCCTGCGGAGGCACCCMCGGGCGGAGAAGGTCGTCCTGTGCAGCCGCAGRCCGATCACCGAAAAGAACTTTGACGTGTCGGAGAACTGGTTCGACCGGAGGTCTTCCAACCGGCTCATCGGGGAGTTTTACCACCGGCCGGTCGAGGAACGCCTGGCCGTACTGAGGGAGGCCCGGGGGGGCGGGAGCGTACCTTCGGGGTACATGGACGAGGTCCGGCGCCAGCAGGCCCGGGAGCCGGGGCGGCTGGTCTGCCTCGACGGGGATATTTTCCTCCGCGACGAGAACCACAGCGGCGAAACGGCGGRAGAGAAAAAAGACTGCGACGGCGAGTCCGGCTGCCAAGGGGCTCCCGATCCGGGTGGGATATCCGTGACGATTGTTCAGAAACAGAGGAACCACCACGGAAAGGCTTCTTCCTGCGGGGCCACGGGCAAGGATGGGGAAAGGAACGACAAAAGGAGGCACGACTTTGAGTTCGACGCCGTCTGGCTGGCCTGCGGCATCGAGCCGGACTGCACCGCCTCCCCCCTCGTCGACAAGCTCCTGCAGAGGTGGCCGATCCCCACGACCGGGGGCTTCCCCTCCGTCTCGGAGGACCTGGAGTGGTGCCCCGACCGGTGCCCCAAYCTGCTGGTGGTGGGGAGCCTCTCGAGCCTCAACACGGGACCCGACGCGGCAAACCTGATGGGGATTCGCCGGAGCGCGGCCAAGGCCGCAAACTCCHTGGACTGCCGGTCCTGGCTGCGGGTGGACGGGGACGACCCCGAGGCGGCGGGAGGCGACCAAGACTCGGACCACGGCCACGGTGGGGGAGGGGTCCTCACGAATCCCTTTAAGCACCTGCAGTGGGGCGACAGCGATTCCGACACKGAGGACGATTCGTCGGAATGCTCCTGCTGCGAGGAGAAGCGTGGSTAGCCGCGGAGCGAGCCAAACCAGCCCAATCGAATACGACACCGTAGTATGCTGTGTTAGAGATAACAAATAGACTAGAATACAATTCTGCCGATTTATCAACATACTTGTCGCTGTCAAACAAAAACTGACAGCAGTAGATCATTGTAGCATTAGTGCGAATAGTCGAACAGATGTGGAACAACGGGTGTATTTTACTAATTGTTTTGAAACGCTTGTAACAGGCATGTTGACCGGTCAGCGCCATCACATCAAATCACATCAAGGCTAGAACGAGAAGAGGTACAAACGATATTCCCGACCACCTTGCCAAAACCCCGCCCGTAACCAAGGCAACGACCACAAAGGAGCCACAGCAGGGACTCTCAGAAAAGCCCGTAGCTCGTGGAACGCACTAAGGCAGATTCTCATCTATACTTCGATGGTACTAGTTGTAGAATGCCGTACTCGTAGTTTTTGARCCAGCCAAATCGATCAAATTTGTGACAGGAAGTTTCTTATAATACTACTCAGAGCAAAGCAGCGACAGCGATGCACTCCATGTTGACCATAGGGAGTTTTGTATCACCTAAAAATTTGGCAAGACAACTTTCGCAACCACTCAACGTATTTGGTTCGAGCTTTTGTAGCCTTGGTTTTTATTCCATCCAATGTTATTGTTTTGTGAAACAATAATACCCATTCAGTCGTGATCTATGTTTAGTGTCCGTGACAATGATGCTTTGCTCTGAACATTCCAGTTGGTCGATAGGTCTGAAGAGTTGTGGTAGTAAGCAAACCTGTCGTTCGCCCTAATTATCGGCATATCGGAAATCGTCGGTATTCTACTCGTCATGATTTGGTGCCAGTGGAATGATTTGATTTCAACCTGGTTCGATTCCATTCCATTCGATTCGTTTCAATTCGATTCTTTTCTATGTCCCGCCATACAGTGCGTCTATTCGCTTGATCTATATGTTTGTTCGTTTTTGGCAGTGATCGATCCCATRCGGGTGACTCTTGCGTTCACGACTASACCTAGGTTGGCACAAAGTTGGGGTTCACCCTCCGTATTTCGTCTGGCATATTCCGAACCCAGCACCCCTCGTCCAGAACAAAATCGGCGCATTTGACGACGTCGTATTCGATGGTCGTGGTCGTGTTCGTCTTGACAGRTTCGATCGCCGTCCCCCCGGAGGCAACCCCCGGAACGGAACCGCTGTTTTGTGTGCCACCACCACCAGCAGGTTCGTCTCGGTCCTGCGGTTGCGGCATTCGCTCCTGGTCCTTCCACATGCGCGCCACGGCGTCGCCGTCGCCGTCATCGCTTTCCCTCCGTTTCGGCTCGGTCCGGATGTTCACGTTGATCGTCGGAGATCCCTCCCGTGGCAAAAAGTCCGGGGCATCGGTCATGTGTGGCTGCTGGTGCTTCGTTTCTACAAAGTGGTAGGCCTTGCAGGAGGTCACCCACTTGCAATCGACGCAGATGCACATGCTCCGCTGCGTCAACCTTCTTCTCTCGGGGTGGTGGCGGGCCTTTGGTTGTGCGGCTGGCCGAAAGGCATCCGCCAGGAGGCCACCCGAAGCGTGGTAGCTCGGGTGCTGGATGCCACCGTCGATGCCACCGTTGCTGTTCGCWGCAAGCAGAGAAACAGCACCGGCAACCACGAGCGCTTTGGTGGAAGYGCTTGCCATCCGGCAAACCATTTGTAAATGTTCGATTTCTGTTCCGATCGCTCTCTSCCGAATCAATGGTTCAAATCAACGTTGTAATGGAGGATATTTGGTATCGGCTCCAAGYCATACAGTATGTAGTGGATATTGATTGTGCTATTGCTGCTGGCGGCTCGGACCCAGTCCAGTACATCTCGATRCCTGCSAGKGAATCTTTGATTGGCACAATCTAGGCCGTTTATCGTTTATCCTCTGTTTGTTTTTGATGACGGCGTCTTTTGTCGTCGTTCGTTGTTTCGGCAAAACAAAAACAACCAACCGTGAACTCAATGATTTTACCGTACCGTACCTGGTACCGTATGGTACAGTACGTACGGTACCTTGTACCGCACGGTTGATGATTCATTCGTCAAGTGAAGGAAATAGCGAGCGATTCAATCGAATCAATCAACTACGGTACGACTGTAACGAGTTGCATTTTGTTCTGCGCTGTATTTGTATTCGACGGCATGACATCATACCTTTGTAACGGTATGAATACTATGGATCACGTGGCAAGGTGTTAGGTTTGACAACSGCTTGTTTGAGTCGAATCGGTCGAATTATGTTCCGACGCCTTACGGTATGGCAAGCTGTGCCGGTACGAGTACGTACCTATGTACCGTACCAAGTATGCTCGTGACCCGCAAGATTCCGGTGGATAGATCCCCAGGAGAAGAATCTTCCGAGAAAAGAAACGGGACCCAAAATGTTTGGGAAACATGAAAATGATATTTTTCTTCGGAGCASCGGTGGGATTCGGTACCGGCCTTGGATGTTCTTGGATTGATAAATTTCCTAATTAACAATCAGGTTCTAGAAGCAATAATAAATACAAATGAAGCGCCCAATGGGACGTTGCCACATATTTTCATTTCCTTAATCAATTGCTTTCAGCGCCTTAATCAGTGTTCTCCTCCCCAACATAAAAGGAAAGCACTTTTTAATTCCTATGCTGCGTGTGGCAATTGAGAAGGCAGGGCTGTCAGATAAGTACGAGGTACCGTACATTACGCAGAGGTACTATTTTTTCCCCATCGAGTTAAGCGGAGCTAGAGTCAGTCAGTCAAGTACGTACGTAACGTACCAGGGTCTATGTACTCTTAGACATAGGTACGTACATATCTACGTACGTACCGTCATAGGTYATAGCGTAGGTGGCAACTTACACTTTACGAAGTGAAGCAATACTACGATCTACGATACACTCGACTCAACCCCCTCTCAACATCTCTCTAGGCTGACCGAAGGCTGCCCAACTTCACTTCCCCCTCCGCTTAAATGAAAAATAGGTCGAAGTATGATATTGCACGGCACATCAAAAGGGGATCGAAATCCAACARACTGCGGTGACAACAAAGGAACAAAGACCGACACACCTCGGTCCGAAATAAGCCATCCCTTCCAAAAACCACGACGTTTCTCGGCTCGTTGTCCATTCGTTCCATTGCATTGCCATGGCCTCCTCGTTATTATACCCGCAACAGAACGCCCCGCTCGRAGCAGCGGGGGGAGGAGGGGAATCCTCCGCATCCGGGCAGGCGGGGCCTTCCTTCGATCCAGAGGCGTCCCCGATTCCGGGCCAGCAGGCATGGGCGATACTCGATCTGCACGGAAAGCTGGTGCGATCCTCYGCCGATGGAAGCAGCARCAACAACAGCGGCGGTGACACACAGYCGCCGATCCTCGCAGACGCGCCGACGCTCTACAACATGCTGGTCGAGTCGACCCCGCTGGTGGCGAGTGGGCTGAACCGAATGACCATCAATTTTTCCTCCTTGCGGTATGTTGTCGCCCGCGACGAGCACCACGTGTATCTGGTTCAGACCAAGGGGGTGTGATGAGGAATGCACAACATTACAATCATAGTAGAATTGCTKTTGCCATCGCTATTTCGTTGCGGTCAGGTGTGTTGGAGAAAGATGTTGGAGTGCATGAGAACTATCAATCACACGAGAAGATATGCAAGTAGAAATCGAAAGCTTCTGCGGCAGAAATTATGTTTTATTTGTGCATATACATGAAAGGAGGCAGGTTGACAGGGCGATTGGCGTCGTCCGTCCTGMGSATGCTTGTGGTAAATGCAGTTTAAGCCGACAATGTAACAGGTTCGAGGTCACCTAGAGGGAAAAGAATGCAACGTAGATACGATCGTTTCGAAATGAATTGGTGTACAAACCTGATTTCATCATTCTATTAAAGTTTATGCCAGCATATCTACCTTCGATATAAAACAGATCTTATTCACCGGCTACAGTTCTTTGGCATCACACTTTTAGCGTCGAATCAACTAGTAGCGTAGTTCATCGGATCTGAACTGTAGCCATCGTTTGCAGMAAACCATASCTAGTCCTCTTCCACCCCCAGCTGAAACAGTGCCGACTGCAATCGAGATTCTTTCAGTTTCCGGAATCCCCAACCGCCGTTGTTGCTGCCGCCTGAATTTGAATCTGGACCACTCGCCTSAGTCTTTGACGTCAGYGACAAGTCCCCCCCAGTGGGAACRCTCTGCTCCGTATCGTTGTGTGGAGCACTGGCTTGCTCCTCTAGCTGCTCTTCTYGGGGCTCCGCTTCGGCCTGGTTGGTTCCGCTGGAGCTCAGACGACGCCTCGTCCCGTTGCTGGAGTTGCCGCTGCTGCTCCTCGAGCTCCTCTTCCTGGAAGTGGYCCCGCGCTTAGTGTTCCATGCCTCCATCTCGCGKTTGTAYCGGTCCATGTCCACGCTCGCCTTGGACTTGTACATGGCAAAGGAATCGTCGTCGAGTTCCTGCCACCGTTGTCCAATCAGCTTTGCAAGAGACTCGAAGCCGATCTTTCCGTGCGCAGTTTTCCCCTTCTGCTTCGCCTTSGACTTGCCTTTCTTGCCTGTTGCTCCGCTGTCGCCAATGCCCCCCGAATCGTTGCTGGTGCCATCTTGTGGAACCTCYTCCGGGGTGGAAGCGGCGTTTCCAGCTGCCCTTGCTTCCAGGATCCGGCTCCGTTCTTCCTTGAAAAAGATRTTGTATGCRCTCAGAGGTCTCTTTGGYTTGTCCTTGGGTTTCTTGCGGGAGGCCTTCCGGGCCTTYTCGTCCTCGTTTGATTGCTCCATCATGTCGCCAAGCAAGCCGGCGGCACGGTCCGACCACGGTGCCAGGATTCCGTTCTCGGCGGCAATGTAGGATTCGTCTTCACCSGGCATCGTCCCCTGTCTTGAGTGTGACGATGACGATACGCTGCTGCCGTGCTGTTGCGAAAGCTCGCTCGACGATTGGAAGGGAAAGGCCGACGGCCCGCTGCTTCCATCGCCACAGGTTTCGTTCGAAAACATACCAGTGGAAGAGATGTGGTCSATCGTGGCATCCGAGCTGCTCGATGTCGGCTGCCGTCCCCCCTGGACCAGACCACCCATCGAGGCCCGTCTACGCGCCTTGGAACTGTGGTGCTGCAAACTCAGGGGGAGCACGTGGTTGCGGTAGTCCATGGTTCCGAGGTTCTTGAGGAATGGATTCCCGCTTCGGCTGTTGAATTCGGTAGCACTGTTGCTATTGCTAGTGATAATGTTGCTGGTGTTGTTGGCGTAGGTGTTGGTCCCGGTGCTCGCACGGCGCTGCTGGATTCTCCGTTGCCCCCCGTTGTTGCTGCTGTTGTCGTTATGGCTGTTGTTGTTGCTGCTTCTGTTGTTCCAGACGTCCCGCATTATGATCTGCCTCAGCTCCTCGGTGGTTAGCTTGCTGAAATCGTTGGACGATAGATTACTAGCTACAGCGTTGTTGGTGCCGCCACTGCTGCTGCTGCTAGTGTTGTTGTTGTTGTTCGCCGCGTTACTTGCGAATCCCTCGGAAGAGAAAAAACCCTCCGTTCGCCGGAAGTTCGCGCTGCCGCCTACAGTGGGGTTGCTGGTGTTAGTAGGAAACGGGGCATTTCCTAGATCGTGAAAGGTAGCCCCGATGCGATCAGCCATGAGGGGAAAATCGTTGCTCCTGTCCCCTACACCAGCGCCTACGTTCATGTTCCTCCCGATGCCCGCCATGTTCATCGACCGCAGGTTGTTCACATTGGCGCCACCAAAGGTCTCGGCGATGTTCATGCCGGGGAGACTCGATTGCATTCGGTCGTTCATGTTMATGTTATTGCTCATGTGTGTGTTGTTGAGATGTAGATTCCCCCAGGACTGGTTGTTCATGCCGTTCATGGGCCGGTTTGCAGCTCCTTGTGAGAGCACCATAGACAGATTCCCATTGCTCAGCTTGGACAGAGATCCCATGTTTGCRAAGGATCCAACRTTGGAAATAGAACCTATCGTGTTGATTCTTGAAAAGGAAGACATCGGGGAGAACGAAACACTGTTCTGCAGGGAAGAACCAGAACAGGTGCTGTTGCTTCCTCCCATTCGATTGGACGCCTCTGCCTTTTGCTTTTGGAGCTGGACGAATAGCTCGAGTGGATCCGACAACAAGGATCGCCCGTTTTGCGGTGAGACGCCGGGATTGTTGACGCAAGCACTTGAGGCTGCGGCTGCGGCTTGATGGTTCGTGTGATGGTTTTTCACGGACGTTCTCGATGCTTCGTTCAGTTTCTTCATGAGCTCCGCATGCTGTTCGCTATGCATGGGAGGATCCATCGGGCCCGCACTCGTGGCTTGGTAACTGAAATTGAGGTTGCTGAGGCTGTTCTCGTTGCTACTAGTGCTGCCCTGTCCTCCGACCTCGCTGTTCCTTCTGGACACACTGGTTGCCCTCCTGGAACCACCAAAATTTGAATCTTCCGTGGTAAAGTTGGACTGGAGCTGAGATTCACAAACGGTTTCTTTCGGAAGTGTTGATGCTTCGTTAATCATCATAATAATAAGTGAACTATATTATTATTTGAAATATATTTGTTTGCTGCATCTCAACGCTTTTCGGCGTTTYGGAAACTAATGAAGTTAGGAGAAAATGCGGTTCTATTTTCACCATACTCCGTATGGTAGTACGAACCACTCGTACTGAGTGTTAGTACGGTTCTTGGATGATTTCACACTTTTMGTGGTGACAGATTGTATCGGTAGAAAATTCTTCGTGAGGTACATGTCGGTGAGATCACAGAAAGCATTGCGAAGAAAATACTACTGACGTCCCAATATCCGTACATGTGCAAATCGTAACAGGCAACTTCGCTGTAAGAACAAAAATCACTTATGACAACGCGGATCGATTAATTACGAAAAACCAATTAGTCATCAAGGAAGCAAGGACTAATTAATAAAATTGAAAATGTACTTTCGAAAGCGGATTGGTACTTAATGATTTTCACACATTTATCGTTCTCTCATCTTTCACCAAATAAGCCAGAAAAACAAAGATAGCAGATATTATTCTTGGTAAGGCGAGACAATCTTATTATATAAGCTATTCTGTCGGGAATGGTCAATTTTGGTCTTGTGATTTCACTAGATCGGACTAATTAAAAAAAAAAAGATGAGGGAAAGATCACACGAGACCACTGATTAACGCGATCCAAAGGGTATGAAAATCAGGCTTATATTCAATCCCACGCTGTGAAAGGGTTTGAATTTTAATACCGTACGCAGAAAGAATTTATGTCATTCAATATTTCCTGGGCGCCATAAGGAAAAATATGTATCTAGCGTGGTACGTACCAGCAGGGGTCATAATTTAGAGGGGTGTGCAACGCGAACGTTTTTCAGCATCAGGATGAATAAAATCCATTCCATTTGTGGTACGAAGAAGAAAATTTTACCCCCAGGGATTTTTTTCAATTTCATYTTTACTGCATAATACTAGTAAATCTATCCAACCTTTAAGAACAACAACATTATCAAAAATCCTACCATTGAAATTTTTGAGTACAGTTTCTACCCAGTTTTTCATGAGGATTCTGAATATGCCAATATTTTCAGTGTCAAATGAAATGGTGATAGTGTACCTTTTCTCTGTTGAATGTTGACTAGTAGCTACTACTACTAGTAGTAGAGGAGTATTAGTTGAAATTACTACTGGGGAATTAGTGGGAGAAATGGATGAAGGACAGACAGTTCAAATTTTTGCTAAGGACTAAACTGGTGGGACTGACTGGACAAAGGACAGACTATTTCTAGAGTGATTAGAAGGAGTGTTCCTGTGCATGGGGTCTTTCAGGTACACTTTTTGCAGTGATATGCAGTAAAAATGAAATTGAAAAAAATGCCGGGGGGTAAAATTTTCTTATTGGTACCACAGTTGGAATATGAGTTTTTGATGCGTTGTGCACCCCTCTAAATTTATGACCTCTGCATACCAGTACGTACCGGTATGAATACATGTTTACAATAAAGAGTGAGGTTATTCACTACTAGTACTACTAGTACTAGCTACTCCTCGTGATCGTCGTGGGATATGGGGAATTGCCTCACAGGTTGAGATTGGGGTTGCTCTGGGGACAATTGATTGAGTAGAATGTAATCATTTTCCTATAGAAGTACCGTACGGTAGTACGAGTTTGGAGTTCTACCGTATTTTGGGTCGTTCCCATAAACATAGAATCTATGCTGACATACTTTCTTGCATCTACTATGACTCAATGGGAATAAGTATGTAAAGACATAGAATCATAGATATTGAATTATGGTGCCCTACACATGCTTAATTTTGGAATATGGAATTTTGCCTTGAAATTAACAGAAAATAACTGCATTCTTGCCAAATATTGAGAACACATGGTGGTGCCAGCAAGCGCGCCAAAACAAATCTAAAGTGTCACCAGGAGCCGGGGGAGCCCGCCAAAACAAATCTAAAGTGTTACCGGGAATGCCAAAGCCAAAGTGGTGCCCCAAAACAAATCTAAAGTGTCACAATTTTAGGTCGAAAAGATAGCTGTAGCAGCATCAAATGGACATCGATGCTTGCTGATAGCAGCGCTGGATCATTAGAAAGGAACCAGCACCCCCACCATGTCCCTTGAAGATATCATCCTTTTCATCACTCTCTACTTTGAGCTAGAGGACGATTTGTCTCCAGAGGAAAGGAATTGTAGGGATAGGAGAACACCACAGATTGCCATCTTGAGATGGAATCAGTTACCATTCCTCCACTTGTATAGTTCTGGCAATGAGCAGGCCCTTCTAAACTGTTATGGTGTAGATCATGACGTCTTTAGAGGTCTCATGGAACTCTACACACCAGTGTTCAACATGTACATGGTTGATGAGGCAATAGGAAAGATATGTAAAAGAAGCTTCCACAGGAATGGAATGCCAAAGGGTCAACATCGGGAAGCAAATGCCACTTGCTGCCTTGGGTTAATGCTACACTGGTTCAGGACTCGTGGATCAGTAGCAAGAGAGCTCCCCATGGCCTTTGGTCTTACATCGACAGTAATGTACAAGTGGATCAAGTTCTCCAGGTGTGTCCTCCTCTATGTCTTGCAAGACCATCCAGATGCAYAGGTCATGGCTCCTGCCAGAGAAGATATCGACGCTTATATTGCAGCTATTGGTGAAAAATACCCTCTGCTTGGAGAGCAAACAAGGGTGTGGGGTGCTGCAGATGRCCTCAAGCTTGGACTGCAAATGTCAGGAAACTGGGGAGTACAGAACATGTACTACAATGGATTGACATTTGATATGTATGTCAACAGCCTCTTTGTATTTGCCCCAGATAGCAAAATTAGAGTTATGACATTCAATTGTCCTGGGTCTTGCTGGCATGACAGCACCATGTCAGAGTATGGAGTCTACAGGAAGATAGAGGAGATGTATGACTTGTATGATGGCCCTAAAGTGGTCGTTGATGCAGCATTCAAAATGGCTGGCAAGCCATATCTTGTAAGGAGCTCACAACAAGATCCAGACCTCCTAGTGGACGCAAGCAGTGCTAGAGCTGATATATCCCTTAATTGTGAGGCTACATCACTGAGACAGCTTGCTGCGTGGGGCATGAGGATGATCCAGGGACAGTTTCCAAGGCTGAAGGATAGGATCAGACTTGAGGAGCAAGGTGAAAGGAAGATTCTTGTGAACACAGCAATCTTGTTG